TGACGGAAAATTCAAATTGAATGCCGTCGCGGAAGTAGAGAGCAGCAAAAGCAGGCCACATTACGTAATGGCCCCCGATGGTGCTGGCGTTTCAAAACTGGACCGAAAGTCGTAAAACTTATTCGCATGAGTTGCTAATTTCCCAGCGAACTTCTGCATTCTCCGAAGTGATTGGATTGCAGCGGACTACTTCAGCATTATTGGTACTTATCTCAACAATTTATTTAAAATCGGTTTCAGGTATATGTCTAGGAAGGTGTGGTCCAGGGAACAAAGATTCGTGGAAATAACAAGTAAAACACCTAAACAGTTATCTGTTACCCAGGCTATATCCCATTTTCATTTTTATCTATATAATTAATACGCTACATGAAACTTTGTCGGTTGAACTCCTTCGCCATTTCTTAACCGATTTTATCCATTGACGTCTCATTGGAAAGAGCGCGTCACGTAGATTTGCAAACTGGCCTTACATTTTTGAAAAAGTCTCTTGGGCTCTGCCCCAGTGGCTTTGAAAGTTCCCATGTTATCCTTATGAAGAACATAATTGTTTACATTTTGATCAGCTGCATAAATTTAACTGCTGTTATTTATTTTTCAATTCAATGAAACACATTGAGTACGTTTATTTAATATTTGAGTTTGTTTAAACATAACCCCCAAGACGGATCGTGTTAGTATGGTTGTATCTTAAATTTGTGTATTTATCGTTGTTTTGTGTCGCTATGACGGATCGTGTTAGCATGATTGTAACTTAAATTTTTGCATTTATCGTTGTTTAGTGTAGCTATAATTTGTTTATTTTTTTTCTTCTTTTAAATGCCTCCGACGCGACGACAACGAAACATAGACAGGAGACGTCAGCACCTGACCCTGGACAATCTCAAGTATTGGTTACAAATGCACCCTAACACTACCCCAAAACGACTTTTCGTTCTCAATTGGCCCTCTATCAATGACCTGTGTTGCCTGTACAGCGAGGTATTTTGAGAAGGAGAAAGCCGGCTGGAATGATTTAGGTTTATCAATAACGAAGATAAACACGGTCTGAGTTACACACCGGTAATCTTGAGTTGACTCTTTTAAATTAATTGTAAATATGACTGTTATTCGTTTTAAAAAAATCCTGTAACACTTTGCGATTGCTCGAATTCGAGCAACATGTACACTAGTGATAGACTAATAGACTACGCTAACTCGCCTCCAGGTTGAAGTTCGTTTGCTACGCTTACTCACCATTTGGTTGCAAATTAGCTGTTGTCATAAATTTATACTAATATATAAAAATGAGATGTTGTGTGTTTGTGTCCGTCTGCTACTCAATAACGCAAGAACCACTGTACCGATTGTAATAAAATTTTGTATGAAGGTAACTTACACACCTGGTTAACATATAGGCAGGCCTATTCCTGTTATCATATTTCCCTTGGGCTACACCCCATGGGCTTCCTTAGTTTCAATGTTTACATTTTGAAAGAGCGTGAATAGTCAAAAATATTAATTGAAGTCAGCTGTTAATACTAAAATTTGACAGTTGTTGAAACAGCAAAGGTTAAGAGGTAAAGGTTCTGCTCCAATGATTCTAAAGTTTTATGATTAAGAGAATTGTTTCATGATGATTTTCAAGAAACATTATTTACATGGAAACAGAAGGATCATTTCAATGGTAAATGTTTTTGAATAATTTGATATGGTAGATTTTTGTTTACCAATTTGAACTGATCAACAAATGTTTGGATTAGGATTTTAATAGGTTTTAAAAACTAAAAGAAATATGTAGGGAGTTTTAAAAATTTTACTGACTCAATGTGTAACTATTTTATACGACAGGCTTAAAGATCATAGTTTTCGCTTCAGTGTCTTCTCCGTTGCGAAGCACGGGTACAGCAGCTAGTTAAAAAAATAATAGTGCTGCACCCTGTTGGTAATCCTTGTAACTTTAATGCTATTGAACATCATAGAACAGAACCAACTTGTTTAATTGAAACAGCTGGTAAGATTCATTAATTCCGTTTAAATATGAGTACTGATAAGGTTAACATGGGAAACTCCAGAGCCACTGGGGCGGAGCCCGACAGTCCGATCAGAATAAAAACAACTTATTTTTCCTATTTAATGCCTAAAAAATCAGTGTACCAAATTTCAGCCTCCTAGGTAAATGGGAAGTAAGAGAATTAGTGATGAGTGAGTGAGTGAGTCAGTCAGTGAGTCAGTGAGGGCTTTGCCTTATATATATCTTCTATAAGTATAAAAGGTGTTGATATACAAAAGTACTGTCACATTGGGGATCTATACTGGGAGAAGAGTAGTGAATGTGTTGAGATACAAAAGTACAATGATGTCACATTGGGGATCTATACTGGGAGAAGAGTAGTGAATGTGTTGAGATACAAAAGTACAATGATGTCACATTGGGGATCTATACTGGGAGAAGAGTAGTGAATGTGTTGAGATACAAAAGTACAATGGTGTCACATTGGGGATCTATACTGGGAGAAGAGTAGTGAATGTGTTGAGATACACAAGTACAATGGTGTCACATTGGGGATCTGTACTGGGAGAAGAGTAGTGAATGTGTTGAGACTCGGCCTTGTGCAGTGAGGAGTGTAGAGTTTAGTAGGAAGTAGAGCGAATCACGACCTCTCGACGCACGTTTCTCGTCCTCTGCCTCTGATACCCTCGAGGCATTCGCCGTTTGATACAAACATTAAATAAGGCATTATTTCCCGCTGACAATAGCCTTGTTGCAAATCGTCGCACCGTAGGGACAGCAGTCTACGACACGAAATTCCATTAATAGGCCTACAGGTATATTGAAGCTATTAAAATATTGTGTAATAAGTGCGGCTCTTACTGGGTTTACAATTAAATTTAAGATAACAGTTAAATCCATGGTCAAAGGTCTTACCCTATTAATTGAAATCTTTACTTTAAATCCAGAGTTTAGCGTTCGAATTCTAACAACTCACTCTCAAACTCCGTGACAAAAATTATCTTAGGCGAGTATTCAAAGCTAAACATAATGGCTGCACGATTACTAAAACCGAAATGAGGAAATAGAAAGGAAAGTATGCCAAAGATCCCTAACTAAAATACTATGTAGGACCATATCGAAGAACCTTTTAACTTTTACAGTGTACAGTACCATTTCACCACTAGAAGATCAGTCAATCTTACTGACAGGTATAAAGGTTTCCCAATCCCTATTGTTTCTTTGTTTCCCTGTTTATGTAAAGGGTATAAACTCAGAGTTATGAAAGAGAAGCGACCGCAGAAAGAGGTGTTAAGTCTAGACTGTTATCACACAAATGAAAGTGGAGTGAAGATTCGGATAATTTGTCTCTTTCCCAACACCAGCTGTGTTCTGTCCTATGATACAAGCTTTGACTATTAATACTTCAGCATCTAATAGTCAATGATACAAGCTTTGACTATTAATTAGAAAGTTGTCGACGAGTAAAATATGACTTTAATATTTCTGGGAACAAACTGGATAAAATTATTGATTTTAAGAAAGGGAAAGTCTACTAGCCCCTTAACATGTAATGGAAAACTTTTTTCGAGTTTTTAATCGACGCGTAAAAAGTATACCCTTGACGGCTTTGAATAAGTAAATACACTTCTTCTGAGTGATGGTATTTTAAGATTGTTAGGCGAAAGGTTGACGTTAAAACTTAGAAGAGGTTTTGGGCGGTTTTCTCTCGTAAAACATCACACATACACGAAAATAGAATTGAAAGGATGAAATGTAGTTTGTCATTACTCCGCCTATTTACATTTCTAAAGAAACCAAATTGTAAAAAAACTTAATACATTATCATTGTTTTAAAGATTTACAATTAAACTTTCAAAACCATTCGATACAGTAGTACCTTTGACTCTGAAATTCAATACGACTGTGAAGTCGAAATTTATTTCCAATGATTTGATGCCAGTATTAAAACATAAATTAAAATAGTTCAACTAAGCCACATTTTTAAGTTATTAAGTTTTATTAAAATCCCTTCATTTTTATTTCTTAAACGCCAACTTCTTAGCTATTCAACACTTAAAGACTAGTTTGTTGTCAACTACAATTTGAATCCATCTACTATCAAGCTATGAAAAGCTAAAAACTTAACCTTAATTATTATCACACTGTGTGAGAGGCTACTGAACCATGGGCCAAAAACTATCTACACCACTCAACACAAATGGAATGTTACATTAGCAAAAGAAATTATTGTTCTACGATTATACGTTATTTGTAAATCTAAAACCACGTGCACGGGAAAAATATTCACAAAAATAAAACTTGAGAACTATTTAATTTGCGGATTGAGATGTTGTACAGTGTACAGTAGCCATGCTGTACAGTGTTAGTGTACAGTAGCCAAGTTGTTTACAGTGATCTAAATACAAGCAAGGTCGACTTCCACACCCGCCCTATACTTGACACATATCGTGCAGCCAAAGCCGTGTCAATTAGGCCTACTGCAGCTCACTTGACACTTTGGACTAGATAACATGGTCTGTGGTTTAAAGGGGATTTATTTTCGTAGATGGGTTGTTTTCCCAGTGAACAAAAAAATTGTTAATTAGTTTTACTCATTGCTTTAAGACTTTAATAGTAACACCAATTCTATCGAGAGTGAAGTTTTAGGCACTTGCAAGGAAAATATCCCTAACTTTTATGTGTGTACTGTACTGTGTATCATTTAGATTTATATCAAGCCTAATATTGTTCATTTGTGTCTGATATTTCAAAAACAACGAGAGAATGTTACAATGTTGATATTCGAAATTATATTATTTGCATTAATTAGTGTTCGATAAATAATGATTGGAAAATTGGTTTACTCTTGCATCTTTCATTCAAAAGTACTTATTTCTATAAATGAATTATTAGAAATTGAATGTTGATGAAATAAACATTCGGTAAAATTAGTAATCAGATAATTTTTGTTTTAAGAAAGATTTAAAATTAAGTTTTCCTTGGTTAGGGCGTGTGTTGTATTTACCTGTGAGGAAGTGTCCTCTGCACATAATGGCTGAAGGCCCGCCCGGCCGTCCCTCCTGCTGCAACAAACACAACAAGTTAAACAATATACAACGATCTTGTACCATAATAATCAGAGAAAACTCGGAGAACCAAATATAGGGACAATACTATATTTAATGATTTTGAGTTAATGTTTTCAAACTCAGAATCAAACAATATCTCTTCAGGCTTGGTATAGATGAGGCCGACGTTATCATCACAGCTGATTACCGGCGCGTTTGACCCGAACCTTGCCCCCTCTATCCTGATCCAGCATTAATCCTAGTAGTCCAGTCCGCACCTGTTCAAAACTGTATTCATTGTAGATCTTATTCAATTTTACAATTCATATAAATCTCCTTTCTAAACTAACAACCTTTTAAGCAACAGTCTACATTCCATTATTCATCTTTTTTATAGGCAACAAATCCATATGACTTGGTTACTATAAATATTAAATAACAACCCAACAGACGCACAGGCAGCACTTGCCTATGTCTGCTGTATTTCATACAATCAATTTAATTTAGTGTATACAGAAATGTTTTTTTTTATTCTTCGTCTTAGTTTTATTTTGTAAGTATTTTGTATTAAAAAGTATGTTTTTGTTTTCTGTATATATTATGTGGAAACAAGCATATTTCATTCATTCATTCATACTATATCAGTATACAGTCTTATTTGCATTGCAGTTTACTGATTCATTATTGATTCAATTCCAATCGGCCATGGCTTGCAACAACTTTACGCTTAAAGCTTTATGAACAAAATTGCTGTATTCATGAACCAAACGAAACAGCCTGTACATACTCTTTATACAGAATAATAAAAAAATCGGAAGAAAATTATTGAAAGTTTACTTGTGACACCATCGACGTGTGCTAGAGATGCAATGTTGTACAGTTAAATTATGTTACCTCTGGTTTTAGATACTCCAATAAGAAGAGTGCCAACTTCAGTATCCAAAATTAACGTTACAATGTACAGTAGTATGATTCTACAAAAAAATTAAAAGCAATGCTACAGGATTATGCGATTTCAGCTATTATTGACCTTTATAGCTCAACGAAGATGCGATAAGCAAGCATAACTCACATTATTAGCTGCATAATCTTGCATTCACTTAGCCAACGTGTGATAACGCATGCGTGTTTTGGGCAGTTTCCATTACACGGAGAGTCAGGTGAATTAAGAATCACTTATGTTTATTAATGGTTACACAGTTTTCAGACGCTTAGAAAGTTGATATTTACAAAAGTGACAGTGCCAAAGGCGTTGATTACATAAAACAGCAAAATTTGTGACCGTCTTACGCAACGCGACATTCAAATTACGTTGTTAATAATTACTAACAATAAACTACAAAGTTGTGGAGCCGTGCGTGCCGATCTCGGCTTGAGGGGTATGAATTATGGAGACAGTAAAATCACATCCTTAGTCAATGGTAAAATGTTTTAGATGTATTATAAGGCAGCTTGATAACTTACCTTGGGAAGGGGCGAGTAGGCCTATAAGTAAGTTGGTTGCTAACAAAAGTTTTATTTTGAAAAATCACATGTTATAAAAGTGAATAACCTGCTGCAAAAGCCAGGCATTTTGGTTTGTCTGTAGCTCATGGAGAAAACTGGATTGATAATATAACAATAATTCACAATGTACTTTGTCCTCAGTCAATTCTTATCACTACTTTTGTCTTCCTTGTTTCCTGTTCAAGTCTGCCTCACTGATGTTTCAACTTCTACTCTACATTTCATGGAAAACCATTGTCGATATATCTAAGCCCAACATTAACTATTTTTAACAAAACTAAGATGTTGAAACAATTATCCATGATAAATCAACAATGAAATCAATTAATAACGTGCATTGATAGTTTTTAACTTCAACAATAATATAAGTACATGCGAGTAACAGTAATGGTAATGTAAGTAATGTGGTTCAAAAGACGTTTTTTTCAGTTTTCTATAGTTCATGCAAACAACGGTTAAACCAATGCATAAAAACCCTTTTTGTATTGAATACAAAAGGGTGTGTATTCATTGGTTAAACCACAGAAAACATACTTAAACGCAGTTAACGTCATTTAAATTGTTTTACTTGGAAAATATGTTGTAGAACATTTAAAACACTATAATAACATTCAATTATTCAAGCATAATCGGACAACAAACCGACGTCAAATACACTTAGATTTAACGATACCATAAGAAGACTTCTACACCATTCAAAGTTATCAATGTAAATGCCAGACGATACATACAAAATTGCACACAAACTGCACAAATAGATGTAAAGGTTCTCAAGTGTTGAAAACAAACAAAATTTCCTTCGGCGAAAACCTCCGAGAAGGTTCGGAATCGTGATTAACCTGTAAGACCGGTGATCATTGACTCATTACTCCTAGCGCGGTCAGTCCATTCAATCTGTAAGGTTATAATCACCTTTCACTGTTAACAGAGTACGGTAACCAGTTGCCCAACATTGCTAATTGATTGTTGTTTTGTAACTGTTTAGCCAAATTGTTTTGCAAGCAATACTTTAATGGCCTGTGGTTTTACTCTGACACTGTTTATGCTTTCGATTCTACGATGAGGAATTTCTTGTAGGCTCAGACGAATTTTCTTGCATAACAATTTTTATATATTATATAGTTCTATTCTTGAAGGAACCGTCTGTCAAGAAGTAAAATACAAATGCATTACCTTTTAATATTACAATTTGGGTAAATTTGTAATAGCATTAAAGTGTGGTAGAAAAGGTAATCATTGTAACTTTAATGCTATTGAACATCATAGAACAGAACCTACTTGTTTAATAGAAACAGCTGATAAGATTCATTAATTCCTTTTAAATATAAAAAAATCAAAAGGTTAGTATGGGAAACTCCAGAGTCACTGGGGCGGAGCCCGAAAGCCCGATCAGAATAAAAACTACTTACTTTTCCTATGTAATGCCCAAAGAATCGGTGTACCGAATTTCAGCCTCCTAGGAAAATGGGAAGTGGGAGAATTAGTGATGAGTGAGTGTGTCAGTGAGTCAGTAAGGGCTTTTCATTTTAAAGTATAGATTTCAATTATCCTTTAGGAAGAAGGTCGTCCACTTCACAGACAAACATACAATTGTGAACATAATCACAAGCAGACGATGATTTTGGAAAAGATGAACCGCCATACTCCAGTATCTTCGTCCTATCAACCACAGAACAAAGGAATACTCCAAGTGACTTTCCTAATTTGTACGTCCATTAGACATGTATTAGAGTGCGGAGACAGTTGCCTCACACAGTACAGAACAGGAACTCGTCAGCATCAAGTTCGCATTGCATTGTGGGACGGGGCACGGGGGTGGCGCACCGCGCACGACGTCTTATATAAACACATGTCGCAACGGACAGATGAAGAAGCCGGGGCAGAGGGCCGTGGTAATTGGAGGATCATGATGTAACGTAACAGCCATTAGAAGAGGACGTTTCCGGTCCGGGGATGAGGGTCAGGGGTTGCTCAGGAGGATGGGAGGGCGGTGAAGGTCGGAGGTATGAGGAGGAACTGGACAGCGGAGAAGTTGATAATCTAGAGAGAAGAGGGGTAAATGTTATTTGGAGCTGATGAGGTTGAGGAACTAGAAGATTGAACTCCTTGAGGGGCTGGAAAGGGAGATGGAATTGGGATGAAAAATGTTTGGAAGAAGAGGGTTCAGATAAGAATTCAGATGGAGAGGAAAGGTTCGATGGTAAATATATCAAGCATGATAGAGGAAAACTTTTATAGAAAAATTAGGTTTGAAGTAGAGTGAGATATTTAAAGATGATGTAGGGAAACAAGTATCTTAAGCTGCAAAGCCGCTTGAAACGGAATCTAGAGGCAGATTGATATTTCAAAAGGCTTGTGTTCTGAAAGAATTTACACATAATACGTGTTAAGTGCTTAAACTGTCGTCTAGTCAGCTCTATATAATATAATACTCGCTACGAAATATAACACATTTGATTTTTAAATGGCTACCTAATAAATTTAAGGAGAACGACTGTTGGCCTGTAACGAAATATAATAAAATACATTTTCTAACAGGCTTTTTTATATTGTCCACAAAGAATTAGCTTATTATTATGGTGAATCCATTATAATTTTAACTTATAGGCTCTGAACGTCTTATAGTCTTTGGCTTTTAATCAAAGATAGTCACATACTGTCGCGGGAGTCCCAAACGTACAAGTAGGTAATGGAGCTAACTTATCAAAAACACCACTTTCATAAATTCAAATTGAAATGCCATAAACCTCAATAAAGGACATATAAAACAAACGAAAGAAAATAGTCGTTGTATGAATACATGGAGTTCAACGAAATTTTTTAAACTTTAAAGACAATTTTTATTTGCATTAAAAAAATGGTAAAGTTTGGAAAACGCAGTTCACGGGATTGCACTTTGATGTGGGCAAACAATCGACGGGACACCGGCACTAACTAGTTCATTAGTGTATTGTGCAGGTTTCGATTGCGCTGCACTGGCCTTCATCAAGTCCCGCTTGTGTCTGTGACGTGGCCGTTACTATGCAAGGTCAAGTCCCTACAATGTATGCTGAACCTTTCATACAAGCTTCATCTGCAGGCTGAAAGGCTGCATACACTCGGGGAAAACAGACTGCCGTTGCAGTTACGAATATGGCTGTCTTTTTACTTGTGCGGTTTTCTAATTTGAAAATATTAAAAGTGGCGGTTTTTGGTATTGAAATCCTAAAGCGTATCAGATCAGATTTTTTAAGAATATATTTTTCATGTATCGAAGAAAAAATGTTCAACATCTTGAAAAGGTGGAGATTTTTCATGAATGGACGCCTAAAAGAATTCCTAGATGAAAATTGAAGCAATGCATTTCTTTAGAATTCACTTTAGTAATACGTTGAATTTAAATAACTATCAATAAATTAGTTAAGCTATGCCAGTCCTACCTGCATTTTACGTATATTCTGTTAATACGTAATGATGAATTTAATTTATTTGTAAATGATCGTACTAATTAAAAGTTTAAATATAAGAGA